AAGCACTTTTTACAGTTGTTTGAGTTGCTGTCTGCACTAGCTAACTAGCTATTTTTTCCATGAAATAACACTTTTACTTAAAAGAACAATTGACAGACACACTATAGTTATTCAGCTTGGGTTTTTAGTATATATTTTCTCATAAATGACCAAAATGAGGCTGTTACTTCGGTGAAAACAATTGACAAGTATTATTGCCAGTGATAAAATTCAAAGTTTCAAGCAAAAATTACAATTGTGGGAAACATGTATCTACCACTAATGACTTACCTGTTTCTCAGTACTTAAAAGACTTTAATGAGATCCGTGGCCATATTCACAAACATGATTTTTTGATGTCATATAATGAAATAACTAAAGCATGATGTTACAAGATCTTGTGTGCATAAACGATATATTCAAAATGCAAGGTAGATCAATGGATTTGAATGTTATCAAATAAAAAAAGTCTTGATATGGTTTCAGATTTCACAGTACAATTTAACTTTTAAGAAATGACCACTCATTGAGAGTTGGTAAAATATCAAAGAAAAATATTCACAGTTAGCCGGGCTCGGTGGTTCAGCCTGTAATCCTGTGCTTTGGGAGGCCGAGGTGAGTGAATTGCCTGAGCCTGCGGGTTCGAGACCCGCCTGGGCAACTTGGCAAGACCTCATCTCTACAATAAATAAAAAAAAAAATTAGCCAGGCGTGGTAGCATGTGCCTGTAATTCCAGCTACTTGGAAGGCTGAGATGGAAGGATTGCCGGAGCCCAGCAGGTTGAGGCTCCGGTGGCCGGGAGCGGCCACTGCACTCTAATCTGGGCGACAGAGTGAGACTCCAACTCTAAAAAAGAAAAAAGAAAAAAAATCCACAGTTATATGAAAAGGTTATTAAATAAAATATATTCTTCCTTTTCCAATTGCGTATCTGTAGGAAGATGAATTTTCTTCTAACACTTTATCTAAAATAACATACAGCAGTAGTCCCCCCATCCACAATTTCAGTTACTGCAGTCTACTGTGGTCTGAAAATAGGTGAGTACTGCAAAAGTCAGATTTTCCTTTTTGAGTTGGAGGTCTCACCCTGTCGCCCAGGCTGGAGTGCAATGGCATGAACATGACTCAGCCTCGAGACTTCCTGAGATAGTTCTGCCTCAGCCTCCTGAGTAGCTGGGACTACTGTGCACCACCACACCTGGCTAAACTTTTTTGGTTTCAAACTCCTGCACTCAAGCAGTCCTCTTACCTTGGCCTCTCAGAGTGCTGGCATTACAGGTGTGAGCCACCATGCCCGGCTTACAATCAGGTATTTTGAGAGTAAGAGAAAGATCCCATACATGTAGCTTTTATTACAGTATTTTGTTACAAATGGTCTGTTTTATTATTAATTGTTAATGTCTTACTGTGCCTCATTATAAATTAAACTTTATCATAGGAATGTATGTTTAGGAAAAAACACAGTATACTGTATTGGGGGGTTTGGCGTTATCTGTGGTTTCAGGCATCCACTGGCCCCTGTGGATAAGGGACAGGGGGAACCACTATATTGTAACAGATCCCAGATCCAGTGCTGAAGCAGACATGAGAGTGCAGCTATCTTCTCTTGAGTCAGGCGGAAGAGATTTACAATAATATAAAGTGGCACCACTTCTTTCACTGATTTTATTGCTTGGAAAAATATAGTAGTTTTTCATGAAAATATTATGTATGTTAACATGTAATACTTGTCGTTTTAAAATGACAGTATTTAAAATAAAATATTTTAGAATCTTATTTTCTAGCAGGGTAAATTTCAATAGATATAATCCACATAAACAAAGCTTTTTGTGGTCTTCAGAAGTTTTTAAGAGAGTAAAGGAGTTTTGAGGCCAGAACGTTTGAGAACCATTGATTTAAGCAGTAAAGGCTGGGCACAGTGGCTCACGCCTATAATCCCAGCACTTTGGGAGGCAAAGGTGAGAGGATTGCCTGAGCTCACGGGTTTAAGACCAGCCCGGGCAACTTGGCGAGACCTCATCTCTACAATAAATCAAAAACGTAACTGGGTGTGGTGGCTTGTGCCTGTAGTTCCAGCTACTTGGAAGGCTGAGGCAGAAGGATCACCTGAGCCCAGCATATCAAGGCTGCGGTGGCTGTGAGCGTGCCACGGCACTCCAGCCTGGGGGACAGAGTGAGACTCCAACAACAACAACAACAACAAAGCAGTAGAATGACAGGCAGGGCAGTTTGGTATAGGGAAAGAATGTGATCTTTGCAGTTAGCATCCAGGTTCAAATTATAGATCTGCTATTTCTAATAGCAAATTATTTAACTTTATTGGGCAAATTCTAATCTCTCTGAGACCCAGTTTCCTGATTTGTAAAATTCGGCCAATAAAGCTGTTTTGTTTATTGAAGTTTACGTGGTTGTTTGGTTTTTAAAATGTTTTCATTGGGTTTTATCATGGCTGTGACAGGCTGATTACCTCAAATCATTTCCTTAAAAAGAGGTTGAAATTATTTGAAGATGTTATCTACTGTCCATAACCTTTCAATGTCTAAGACTTTTTCTCTTGAACTTTTATATACATTCTTCAAGTGTATGTGTAAACTTGAAATTTTACAATTAGAAAAGCAGTACAACTAATTTAGAACATTGACTTAGGCATGAGACAGATGGTAATCCTATAAAAAGATGCCATATATTTTTGGATGTGCAAACAGAAAAACAGATACTCTTGAAAATTTCAGAGTAATCTTTGCCTTGAAAATGAAGGGAAGAGATAAACGACCATATGGCCTAATAGAACTTTTTATCCTTTTTAATGTGTAAGATTGAATTTTGTTTCTTTGATATTAGTATTGATGAATAGTTTGCAAATATGAGCTGGTAGTTGAAAGAGGAATACTTTTCAAGTAGGTGATTGGCAGATACTTTTTCTGTGTTTGCCAGTCTCTTGTTTTCTGGGGTGTGAGTGTCATAGTGGGAAGCAGAACCATTTGAACTTCACCTCTAGTGTGTGGTTAATTTAAATGTGAATATCAGAGTCTGTTACCGACTTTGCTATCAAGGCAGTTATATACATCGTTATGCTAGGGTAGAAGACATGGTACTTAGATATGAGTTTACTTAATATGCAACTTAATTTAATATTTAAAACTATTATTTAAAATTTGGTGATCCAAATATTTCAAGTATTTTTACAACTTGTTCTGAAACATATAGTAGACTTTTAAAAATTGCTTCTTCCTTTTATGGACATGATATTGCTGATCCCCTGATAGGTTGTCTGATCCGAGAGGTTTTCAGTAAGAATGGTTTTGTGCAGATTCCATCTACACAGTAACCGAATCTTACAGATTTCCTCTCCTCTCTCACCTTGTATATCAATACAGTACAATTAATGTCTTCATGTATATTTGTCTACCCTACTAGATTAGGAGACTATCAATAATTTAATCTGCATATCACCATGAAGGGCTGGACATGTAGTAGGAGCTTAGCAATTGCAGAGTGAATTAATGAATGTGTTCAAAGTTAGAGCTGTAATCTTTCAACAAGAAATTGAGTTGCTAAACTGCTGGAGTGGGAGGTCAGTATCTTGCTGTCTGTTTTATTAGCATTTTGCTCAAGCTCAGGTAATCTTGTGATAGCATTATACTCTGATGAATGCAGAAAAGACAAGAACATGGCCATAAAGGAAATAAAACATTATGCATGGTGTAAACAGAATGTCTTTGTAAAGCAGTATGATCAGTTAATATGATTTATGGAGCCAAGTTTTTTTTTTGTTTGCGTATGTAGTGACTTTCAGAAAGTGTTTACAGAATTGAAATCCATTACTTCACCGGGCTCGGTGGCTCAGCCTGTAATCCTGCGCCTTTGGGAGGCTGAGGTGGGTGGATTGCCTGAGCCCGCGGGTTCGAGACCCGCCTGGGCAGTGAGACCTCATCTCTACAATAATTCAAAAAAAAAAAAATCAGTCGGGCGTGGTAGCGCGCACCTGTAGTTCCAGCTACTTGGAAGGCTGAAGCAGAAGGATCGCCGGAGCGCAGCAGGTCGAGGTTGTGGTGGCCGGGAGCGGCCAGTCTGGGCGACAGAGTGAGACTCCAACTCAAAAACAAAAAAAAGGAAAAAAAAGAAATCCATTACTTCAGTGTACAAAAAAAGTTTGGAAAATATATTTCTGAATACAGGTGTAGAAATTGGCCTTGTGAAATTATAAAAAAAGAGTAAGTAATAACAATTCTAAATATGTGCTTTGTAATCTTCTTCCAGGTAGATCTAAGCTAGTCACACTGATAGTTTTATGGATGCACTTTAGAGATGAAAGTTTTCTAGCCTGCCTAGCACTGGGCATGGGAAGGTGAAGGTGCCCTGTTCTCAAGGAACTCACAAGTGCCAAGCACATTTCTAGATAATTTGCTCTGGATTATTACATTATTTTTTATTGTTACTGCTGTTTAAATATGTTAAAATACTTATACATTGCTGAGGAATTTCTTTGCTGAGTGTTTTCCTGAGACACTGACCGCAGAGCAGAGAGCACTTAGAATCAGTGTTGAAGACATTTTGGGGTCTACATAGGGTACAATTGGGAAACTCATGAACACTGGCCCATACGTTAAGGATTATATGAAAAAGCAAAAAGGAAGGTCTGTTAGTGCTTGTCCTTTAAATATCATCAGTTATTTGCTAAATACTCATTAAGTAGTAGATAGTGATCTACTCTGATGGGTGAAATAGAAGAAAAATTCCTGTCCTAACAGAGCTAACATTCTTAAGAAAATATTTTTTGGGTCAGACGCAGTGGCTTATGCCTGTAATCCCAGCACTTTGGGAGGCAGAGGCAAGAGGATTGCCTGAGTCCAGGGATTTGAGACCAGCCTGGGCAACTTGGCAAGACCTCATCTCTAAAAAGAAAAAAAAAAAGAAAGAAAATATTTGGGTGTTCTTGTTCAGAAGCAAAAGGATTGAAACTAAGATAAAACTTTTGTGGAAATATTTTTTAATGTGACTTTTTTTTCTTTTTAGAAAATGGCTCCAAAATTTAAATGAAACTGGAAAAAATACATAGATGCAGCATTGCAGCCTTTCCAGATGTTTGGGGATAATATTCCAGAGAGAAGTTGATCCCCTTGGATTAGGTAACTAGTCATAATGAAGAAAATTAGTCTTAAAACCTTCCGGAAATCTTTTAACTTGAATAAAAGTAAAGAAGAAACGGATTTCATGGTAGTACAACAACCATCACTAGCCAGTGACTTTGGAAAAGATGATTCCTTGTTTGGTAGCTGCTATGGTAAAGAGATGGCCAGCTGTGATATCAATAGTGAAGACGAAAAAAGCGGGAAAAACAGATCAAAAAGTGAAAGCCTGATGGGTACATTGAAAAGGAGACTTTCTGCAAAACAGAAGCCAAAAGGCAAGGCCAGCATACCTTCTGGGAGCTCAGCTGATGAGGACACCTTCTCCTCTTCCTCAGCACCAATAGTCTTTAAAGATGTGAGAGCTCAGAGGCCAATTAGGTCCACTTCCCTCCGCAGTCATCACTATAGCCCCACACCTTGGCCTCTTAGACCTACAAACTCTGAGGAGACGTGTATCAAGATGGAGGTGAGAGTCAAAGCCTTGGTCCACTCTTCCAGTCCAAGTCCAGCACTGAATGGCGTTCGGAAGGACTTCCACGACCTTCAGTCCGAGACTGCCTGCCAGGAGCAAGCAAATTCACGGAAGAGCTCGGCATCTCAGAATGGAGACTTGCATCTTCACCTGGATGAACATGTGCCTGTAGTTATTGGACTTATGCCTCAGGACTACATTCAGTATACCGTGCCTTTAGATGAGGGGATGTATCCTTTGGAAGGACCGCGTAGCTATTGTCTGGACAGTTCTTCTCCCATGGAAGTCTCTGCAGTTCCTCCTCAAGTAGGAGGGCGCTCCTTCCCTGAAGATGAGAGTCAGGTAGACCAGGACCTAGTCGTTGCACCAGAGATCTTTGTGGATCAGTCCGTGAATGGCTTGTTGATTGGCACCACGGGAGTCATGTTGCAGAGCCCGAGAGCCAGTCATGATGATGTCCCTCCACTCTCACCACTGCTACCTCCAATGCAGAATAATCAAATCCAAAGGAACTTCAGTGGACTTACTGGCACAGATGCCCATGTGGCTGAAAGCATGCGCTGTCATTTGAATTTTGATCCTAACTCTGCTCCTGGGGTTGCAAGAGTTTATGACTCGGTGCAGAGTAGTGGTCCCATGGTTGTGACAAGCCTTACAGAGGAGCTGAAAAAACTTGCAAAACAAGGATGGTACTGGGGACCCATCACACGCTGGGAGGCAGAAGGGAAGCTAGCAAACGTACCAGATGGTTCTTTTCTTGTTCGGGACAGTTCTGATGACCGGTATCTTTTAAGCTTGAGCTTTCGCTCCCATGGTAAAACACTTCACACTAGAATTGAGCATTCAAATGGTAGGTTTAGCTTTTATGAACAGCCTGATGTGGAAGGACATACGTCCATAGTTGATCTAATTGAGCATTCAATCAGGGACTCTGAAAATGGAGCTTTTTGTTATTCAAGGTCTCGGCTGCCTGGATCTGCAACTTACCCAGTCAGACTGACCAACCCAGTATCCCGGTTCATGCAGGTGCGTTCTTTGCAGTACCTGTGTCGTTTTGTTATACGTCAGTATACAAGAATAGACTTAATTCAGAAACTGCCTTTGCCAAACAAAATGAAGGATTATTTACAGGAGAAGCACTACTGAAAGAATAAGAACCCTGCATCTTGCACTTTGGGAATAAGAAAAAGAGATTGAAATACAGTTTACAAACTTTCATTGCCATCAGAATCTTTTGCTGCCATAACTATTTCAGTTTTATGTGTAAAAGAGTCATCTTTTTGTTTAGGGGTAGGAAAGTGTCCACAAGGTGTCTTGGGTTTGTTTTGGTTTCTTTAAAAAGGGAAGTCTTGAGATTTTAGAAGTGTGAATTATTTTTCATCAATGTGCAGAATAATCACAATGTGAATTATCAAATTTTCCTTAATGCCCCCCCATCCTTTGCTGCTATCCACTGTGATTTTTATGCATTAAAAGCACATTTCATGTGTATTCAACCCTAAGTAAAGTTGAATGAAACCTATTGAGTGAAAATTACTGTGTCTTTTTAAATGGCCCGTTTTCAAAAGGTAGTGTTGAATAAACATACCAGTGTGATAAAACACAGAATTTACATATACACTGAAAATGATTTTTTAATCTCATACTTTAAAAAGTTTTTATTAGAATTATGACATAGTCTTGGGTAATGGAATGCAGATCTTCAACATATCTTTTACAGCATTCTTTTCTAAATTATTTTTAAGGTTGTGGTGATTTTTTGGTTGTGAAAAGTTGAATTTTTCTGTTGCCTTCATTTCATCTTGTGATTTGTCTATTTTAATAAATGGCCTTACATTAAAAATTGTTAAGAAATGTATACCACCAATTTAGAAATTGTTGCCTTTTCTGTCATTAAACTCGGGTACAAATTGGCATAACATATAAAGACCTATGGAACTAGAACTATTATTAAAGAAATATTAGATGATCATAGTTTCCTGTGATAGCATTTTTTGTGTTATCTATACTTTCTTTTGGTAAAATGTTTTATCTGTGATTTCTTTAGTTAGTCAACATTTCCTTGAGTAAACTTGATTGTACAACTAATTTTCATAAATGGACTGGATTCACTTGCAACATTAAAGTTGATATGAGGTTTTAAATGGATTTAAATAGAAAGAAAACATTGACTTAAGGTTGGATTTATATTTTTCTATTATGCAGTCACTATAAAATTGTGCTGGATTTGAATGCTCTTTCCTCCCACTAAAAATAACCCCCTATGACTTTAGTTAAAACATTGTGGAAATCTTTGGAGCAATTTTTCTTACAATATAAAAAAAAAATTGTATCAGATACTCTTCCATTTAAAAATAGGCTTTTATTTATTTCTTAATTTAGCTAACTCTTAAGTAATTTGGCATCAATTAGTTATTTTATCTCTTTGAGTCAGTTGTAGGGAGGGGATGTTATGCTCAATCATTTTTAGTTATTTTGATGAAATGCAGAATGTTCCACAATTTTGCAGTGTATATAGTATTTTGGAATTGCCCTGTCCAGAAAATGTTTCCAGCTACACAGTTTTAAAGGAAAATGTTCCCATCTCAAATGAAACATGTAATATGAGATGTTTCTTTGCCACTTAAAATTTTTCTATCTTTTACTTGCTTTAAACACAAAGGTCTTTGTTCAAACTTGTGGCTTTTTCAATTCAAACATATATCTATCCACTCTTTTTTTTTTTCCAGAACTGAGATATTACCAAGAAAAAAGGCACAATGCCACAATATTATGGTGTTGTATATGGTATTTTGACTTAAAGGGGAAAAGGTACTTAATTTTGGTGGAATGTTGATTGTACCTTGTCACAAAGACTCCTCTTTCATTTTCTGATATGCTTTCACCTAGTAAGATGGAATGTGGAGTATACTGTAATAATATAAGTGCTCACTATAAGCTATTGGGATTAAGAACTATTAACAGAGTTGTAAGCTTGTTATCAAATTAATGCAAGACATTTAAACTATTTTTTTGCAAAACTATTTATTTTTAAACAACTTAAAGTATATCTAGGGTGAGTTAAAAGTCCCTGTGCATCTATATTAGATGGCAGGTATTGTCACAGAGTCACTGTGTATTAATAATAAATGTTGAAATGGCTTCTCCCTGTCTCCAGAAGCATTTACGTCCTCCTTGTGAGATCATGGTGCACAGAGGTCTTTGGACTGCCCTGAACCCGTCTTATGTGGACATAGCCTGTTCCCCGCATTTTCTCATGGTGTCATGTGTTTCAGGTCTATCCACTTAGTGTTAAGATCATTCTGATTTTCATCTAAATATTTTAAAAATTGTAATATGTGTTTTAGTGGAGGACGAGTCTTGATACTGTTCTAATTCAGAAAGCCAATTTTGATATGCTTTTGTATATTCATACTATATGACTTTAAAGTAATATGCCCTATTCTAATTCAGTTCGAAATTGTTAGATTCTGCTAGAATAATAAAAACAGTATTTGCCAAAAAAAAAAAAATTTACAAACAGAAAGGTATGTAGCAATATTTTCTATGTTTGTGTAGAAAGATGCCCATCTGGGATAGGGGAGCACAACATAATGTGAAAGATTGGCTTTATGTGATACTAAAGTAGGTTAGGCTTGGTGGCTCAGCCTGTAATCCCTGCACTTTGGGAGGCCGAGGATTGCCTGAGACCATGGGTTTGAGGCCCACCCAGGCAACTTGGCGAGACCTCGTCTCTACAATAAATCAAAAAAAAAATTAGCCAGGTGCGTCTGTAGTTCTCTCTATTTGAAAGGCTGAGGCAGAAGGATCGCCGGAGCCCAGCAGGTCAAGGCTGCGGTGGCCAGGAGCGTGCCACTGCCCTCGAGCCTGGGTGACAGAGTGAGACTCCAACTCAAAAAAACAAAACAAGACATAAAGTAGTCTGGTTAAAAGTGGAAAGGGGGAAGAAGAAAGAGATAATTTCATCCTATAGTTTGGTCTAGATACAATTTGGTTACATTTTTGAATTCTATTGAAAGGTAGTGTAGATGCTATGGACACAACCTGTAAGTGATTTTTAAATATGCACTTCTAGAAATCTGAGAAAAAGAAAACAAAAACGCTGTATCCATCTGCCATAATAAATGAACCAGAATTGTTTTCTATCAAATTCTTCATCACAAATCTTGATGGAGGCCAGAAGCAAATTTCAGGCTTACTAGGACACTGCTATACATTTTCATAAATAATAAGTAAGCTGTAGAAAGTCCTTGAAAAAAATCTCACTCTCTTTCTGCCTAATGGAAACTATTCTCTTTCTACTTGGTGCAATAATCTGGAATTTTAGAAGGTCAAAATATATCACAGGAAATGATCATAGAACTAAAAATAGTTTTTAAGGAAACCAGCTACACAGGGCAACCATTTTGCTTTTGAGGAAAATCATGTGCCAAAAGGCTAAATCATTGGCTTATAGGAAATAAAACCTAAAGTGTACATCATAATTTCTGAGCCAGTATTACTGAACAGGATAAAAGTTACTAAAGTCTTACATAAGTTTATGCAATGTCCCTGCTAGTGCTACAAATCTAAATATCTTTGTAACAATGCTTTCAGAAAATGCCAATTTTAATTACTATATCTTTCACATTATATATGAGAGACACTTTATGAATGATTCAAAAATAATATATTTTCATTTAAATCTTAATTGCTTTTCATCGAATGTGAAGTCTTAATTTGAAAATGAAATTACACTACCAGCAATAGAGTTTTGATGAATACTCTAATAAGGAACAATAACCAGTTCCATAATAACTTTAAAATTCTAAAGGTATTGGTACGCTAGCAATCACAAATTTGGTTTCTTTTAATACTTTTTAAATCCTGTATAGAAGGTTTTTTATAAACATCCTTTTTTAAATCTATCATAACATGGCAAAATGCATAGTTGCTATTTCTGAAAAGTGTTCCAAACTCTACATCCAGAGGTGATGAAAAATTCTTATAGAATTTTGTAATGAGTATACATGTTGAGTTAAAGAAATTTCATAGTTGTTGGAGTGCCATGAAATTAATACTTGCAATTCAGATTGCTGTAGTTTACACTTTTTCTGTATGTTTCAAATCAGGTGTGTACCATTTGTACTGAGAACACCACAGAACGAATTATCCAAAGTCCATTGATTTTAATATGTGTTTTGGTTTGTAAACAAATTATAGTAATTTCTTGCACATTTTTGGAAATTAATTGTATAAGAATTTATGTATCTGCTTCTAGATACAGTGTGTAAATAAATATTTCATTCACAAGATCTGCCTTGTAGTCCATTTAATATCCCCGATGCAGTGTGATTTTAATCAGTATAGGGTTGCCTAAATAATTTCTGAATGTCCCGTGAACTGGGCAGAAGCTGGAGTGTGGGAACCAGCAAGTTTTAGTAAAAGAGGGAAAAGTAGAGTCATGCCACTAATGGTAAATGTCAAACAAATTAGGAGTCAGCCAATGGTGCTAATATACTAAAGCCTCCAAACATAGTCTGGACTGAGTTGGGAGAGCATCTACTAAGCTTTTTGACTAAATTAATGAAGCCTCACTAAAAGATTAGACTGAATAAAATATTTGGATAGTGACTTTTTAAAAAAAATACCTGTTCTTTAATATTTTATGGGACTAGAATCAGGTCACTAATGTGTGTTTATGTAGAGGTTGTTTAGAAATCTTTTCATAGATTAGAAAGATCTCGCATAATATCCACTGAATTTAATTGTATGCTTTTAAAGTTCTTAAACATCATTGGATTAAATATTGACTTTAATGTTTTATTCGGTTACTTTTTAAACAAGTCCTTTTTTTAAAAAAAAAATCATGGCTAATTCAAAGATGACTCTTACCCTGATTTTGTCCAGGATATATCACAGATTTTGACTTAAGTAAAATCCAAATATTGTGGAGCCCTAACCACATTTTCCAGAGCTGGTATCATGTGACAGCATTGACATTAATGTTGCATTTTCCTGGTGACCGGTGCTAATATTGGATTATGAGGTGAGAATGGTCAAGCCTTAAGAATTATATAAAAGATTTGACTTTGGAAACTAACATCATAGCCAAGTAAACAGATTTTGCCCTTCATGAGGGTTTTATATTTACCCCTTTCTCTAGAGCCATTTTTTAAAAGTATTTTAAATATGAGGGTACAATTCAGGGTTAGGTATACAAGTGGTCATTGAACAGGTAAAATTTGGGTCTCACTTTGGTCCCCATTTCATCTGGTTCTCTAGAACCATTTATTCAGCAAGATAGAAGATCAAGGAAGTGTGTTGAGGACAGGCTGTGTTGCTTCCAGGTGGTCCTGACAGGCTATCCAAGAGAGGGTGAGGGTGAGCATAGGCAGATGAGCTCTCCATGAAGATGGAAGACCTATTGCTGGGATGGCAGATAGTTCATTGGAAATGCTGGAAATGGGCTGGACCCAGTACTAAATAAGTTATCATTATGCTTACCATTTTTTCACTCCCTGCCTTTTACCCTTACCTTTAAATTCTTAAGTTTTTATTTTGGGGGGGGGCTTATAGATTTTACTTTTGCTTTTCCTAGTCTTTCAACTTTTGAGATAAAAAATAGTTTAACCTTTATTTCAGTTGAATTTAGCTTTTTCTTGTCTGCTGTTTTGGCCTCCAGTCTAGCTTTTTTTCTTGCAGATCTTTAGCTTCAATTAAAATTCATCATTTAAAAAAAATCTTTTTTTTAACTTTATGTAATTTTTTTTTGTATTTCATTTTAATCTCCAGTTTTAAGACTTCTGAACTGTCTTAACAAAAATTTGACTCTATTTTCTTTTTCTGACTTATCTTGCTAATGTGTTTAGAGCCATTTAGGCACTTGAGCTTTGGCTGCCCAGCCACCTCCCCCCAGCCCTGAATTTTCCAGGACAGTTTTTGTGTACAGGACCTGTGAGACTTCGCAGTCCCATAGGGTCTTGGTCTCCCAGGCCAGGTGTTCCTTTATGGAGAAAGCCGATTTGAGGGAGTGGAAGTATTGGTTTATGATATTACATAATTCAGTCCTAGTGGTAAGGTCAGTCATGAACCCCAAGATATAAACAGTGGATTTGAGGGTGAAAAGTACTTTTTGCATGTTAAGATTTGATTACAGGAAGTTAAATCCAGAGACCTCTTAATAGTGCTCCAGGCCCGACACTGGCAAAGAACCAACAGTAGTGAACATCTGAATGCCTCCAGCTTGGAGCACAGCCAAGTTTTGTAGCCAGATAACCTGAAACTACTTTCATCCTGGGCTGCGTTTTTCCCTACTTGACACCTGGCAAACTCACCACCACTTCTGGAATAGTCATATGAGAGTCCTGTTGGGAAAGCCTCCCTCAGATTGTAAAAGCCAAGAAGAAACTGGCTAGAGCAGGGATTATTTTTAATAGGGTTTATGAATAAGGCCATTTGCCTTGCCTAGAGATAATTTTGGGCTGTCAAATCCTGTCTTTGATAACTTTGGCTTGCAAACAGGGTAAATCTTGAAAAGGAAAGCTCACTTTTTGATCAAGAGATGTGGATTTCTCCACACTAAGAAAGGCCTAGGAAGCACAAAGGAGGTGGTTTTTCTAATCTCTAACTTGATTCCTTGGGTCTAATAGGGTGGCATCCAGGGACACTAGGACTTAATTACACTAGCCTGCATATTTACTTTCCATAGCAGTAACTTGAGTAATCATGACTAAGCCATTTGCACGGATTCAATAAAGATTATTGCATTTGTCCATCTGTCTTTATTCAGTCTTTCCTATTCCACACAATAAAACACTCAAAAGCCCGGCTCGGTGGCTCAACCTGTAATCCCTCGCCTTTGGGAGGCTGAGGTGAGTGGATTGCCTGAGCCCGCGGGTTTGAGACATGCTTGGGCAACTTGGTGAGACCTCATCTCTACAATAAGTCAAAATGAGCCGGGTGTGGTAGCGCACGCCTGTAGTTCCAGCTACTTGGAAGGCTGAGGCGGAAGGATCGCCGGAGCCCAGCAGGTCGAGGCTGCAGTGGCCGGGAGTGGCTACTGCACTCCAGTCTGGGCGACAGAGTGAGACTCCAACTCAAAAAAAAAAAAAAACCACTCAAATGCATTCTTCAAGGTGAATTCAAACCTTATTCATGATGCCTTTTCTCATCATGCCAAATCAAATTATAATTTCTCTAAATTCTCGTTAAAAGCCTTAAAAAGAAGAAAGAAAAAGGACCGGAAGGAAGGGAAAGGAGTGGGTGGGGGGAGGAAGGGAAAGGAGAGAAGGAAAGGAAAAAAGGAAGGGAAAGAAAGAAAGGAAAAGAAAAAACATTTCTGGGAATGTTCTGAGTCCTCATATAACAAGCTATCCTTCCTCTTTTCTTTACTCTTCTTCACTCCTGGATTGCTGACATATTTCTCAGATGGTCAGCAGTTATACATGCAGGACCCCAAAGCTGAGAGGTAAAATGAGCCTGGCCCTGGAACAGCTGTACTGGACCCTAAAATGACCACCTCCATACTTTTAGCAAGACAAGTAAACTTCTTATTTGTTTAATTAGCACCCAAGTTTCTGTTACTCTCAGTTAAATCAATCAAACCTGTTTTACAGCTTTGCTGAAAATGGAAAGGAATATGTTCAAAGTTCCTTACAAGGATATATATTTTTACAAGGACATTTTAATTTTAAAGATGACAGAATGGCACATGACACTATTCAGTTTCTTACTCACACCCCATCAAATTTTTTAGCTTTGGCAAGAACTGTTGCTGTGCTTCATATATACTTCCCCTCCAAATTTTCTAATAGAGATGCAAACTATAAATTCTGATTCAGCAAAGCTTATGCAAAAGAGAAGGCAGTGTAATAATACCCAGTCAGTGCCTTAGTCTTTTTGGTCATTTTGTGAAATAGGATTTTAGAGTTTCACTGTCGGTATGAGATTATGAAATCTAATTGAAGATACCAGTTTAATATAAGAAAGACCTTTCTTATGTGTCACTCAAAACTAGCTGATTTGTGAGATAATGAGTGTCTCATCTTTAGGTATCTGCATAAATAACTTTTATGGAGTCCCCTCGAATTCCTGCAGGTGAAGAGCTGGGAAGAAGTAACCTTTAAAAGTCTTTCCAACATGAAATTTCTAATAAGGTTTCTAAGATAAAATCTAAATATAGAAAAAGGATAAAGGATTGGGAGAAAAAAGAGCTAGAAGAAAAAAAATGTTCAAACTGGTAACATCGTTGCAACAGGCTGAGTCCACAATGAGTCCATCAGTTTGGTATGCCTGTTTCATTTAAGTTCCTGGAATAAGAAGCTCGGAGTCATGATGCAACCAGGCAGTCTATGCAGCACTTCCTCAGTTCTGTTTAAATACACCGTTGACTTGTTGCCTATGACACCATCAAAAGAGTTCCTACATACCCACCCAGACAGCTGGGCCGGGCACAGCCCAAAATGGGCCACCTGATTACTCAGAAGCTGTTACTCAGCCTTGAGCTCAAAGTGTCAGATCTAGTCAGGGCGGAGGAGCCTTGAAAGGGGAAAGCCAAAATAATCAAGCAACAGCTGGGGGAAATACAGTAGTCCTAAGATGAATTCCAGATCCCTTTGACAATCTAATGAATTTTGTTCCTCCCAAGCTCACTTTATCATCCAAATGAACTGCAATGGATTGAATGTTTATGTTCCTCTAAAATTCAAAAATCGAAATCGAAATCCCCCAAGTGATAGTATTAGGATGTGGGCTTTTGGGAGGTGAGTAGGCCGTAAGGGCAGAGTACTCATGCATGAGATTAGCACTCTTATAAAAGAGGTCCCAGATTCTTATTGGCCCCTGGAGAAGGTGCCATCTATCAACTAAGAAGTAAGTAAGCCCTCACTGGCCACCAAATTTGCCAGTTCCTTGATCTTGGACTTCCCAGCTCCAGAACCACAATAAATAAATTTTTGTAGTTTATAAACCACCCAATTTATGACATTTGGTTACAGCAGCCCAGGGAGACTAAGATACAAATCTTCACTTACAAAAAAATAAATATATGTAAAATTGTGCATGTAATACAATGAAGCTAACTTCAATGCTGCTCAGAGGTAAACATGAATAAGACTACTATTGCTTATTGGAAAAAGAAAATGAAATGGTAGATTAGTTTGATATCTAATCACTTTGACTTACATTTTCTATGGCAATAGATGCTGAAAGTAATGACTAGCAAATAAAATCATAGACCCTGTAATTGCCTGGCTATGATGAATGTGGTGTACCCTGCTAGTTGTTTAGGCAGCATCACGTCTCTATTTCATCC